TATATATATATATATATATATACCCTATTTTCGATTTTAAGGTTTATTCTATTATAAATGGCATATCAAAAATCCCCTCTAGAACAAAAAAAAATCATTTTGCTAGTTCTGTTTTAATACATGAAAATATTGTAACAATTGTGATTTATTAGTCAGTCAATTATGGGTACTCATTGCTACAATATTTTTTTTTTCTAATTATATCATATGCTTTATAATCATTTGGGGGATTCCTTGGTAACCGACGTTACAATTCATCCTTTAGTTATAGTCACTTTATATTAAATACATGAAAAATCTACAGGGGATTATTTTTTATTACTATGGGAATGAAATAAAGGAATTAAAAATGTATATACACATTTCATGTCCAAGAGATATCAATTGGCTATAAAACTTTGATCAGAGCATTGCTTTGGCCTTTTTTTTTCGACTTTGCGTAGAATATAAATGGTTCTGTTTTTAATTTTTAATTTTCGTATGCAGGTCTCCGTTTTCAAATATAAAGAAAAGCACCACCACCACCACCACCACCATTCTTTCATATAAATTATCCTATCTAACAATCATTCATTTGTTTTAATATAAAAAAGGCAATAAAAAATCAAGCAATACTACAATAGCTAGGTGGCAGCAGCTTAAAAAGCAAAATGATATAACAATTAAAATAAAAAAATAAAATAACTTCTAAAACTTCGGAGAGTCAGCTGCCGGTTTCTCTTCCTAGATTATGCTTCTCAACACATTATAAATCCTGCAATGGAAGCATGTCATGCGCAGATACCAAAATGTCCACAGAACTGTTCAAGCGGAACTCTCAGCAAAATTAGATCTAAATACAACGGTGGGGGTAAACTAGAAGATGTAACAGCAGTATGTTCTATTAACTTAAAATTTGTAAACTTCTAAATAGAAGTTCATATTTATCAAGTCGAAAGTAGTACAAATGTTTATCGGTGTGATTAATCTGCTCAATAAACAATTTTAATTACTTGTGGAAATATAAAGATGCAGGTAACCCACATCTTCATATACGACTTTTCGTGGATCTCGACCTGCTATGTAGGCCCTCTTTAGGCTAGACGCGCCTAGACGGTTGGAAGCGACGATGGAAGAAAAACGGTTAAGCAAGCCAAGGACTTCCATTCCTCAGTATTAAAATCCTTCCATTGATGGGCACTGTCTAAAACTTTCTTCCAGCTTATCTCTGAAAAGATTGTAACCGTTTCGTCTGCAGTTGGCTCAACATGAATTACACAGGAGCCAGTGAGCTTCCATGGCGGCCTAGGCTCGGACATGCTACGTTGTTATTTGTTGTTATTTCGCGATGCCATCAACGAGTACAATACATTCATTATCCACCATCAACTAAACTGCCTTAAAGAAAAAAAAATTGGTTCGTATGCTATTCATTATCCACCATCCATACCTTAAAAAAAAAAAAAAAAAAAAAAACTGGCTCGTGTGGGAATCGAACCCACGATCGCCGAGTTTGCAACCCCTGATCCAGCATGACTAAACGGAGGGAGGTAAACCGCGGCCCCTAAGCCATATATGCGATAAACCTAGTACCACACCAAGTACCAGTTAGTCAACTCTGATCCTAATAGAAAAAATTCTTTGTATATATACACTGCAGGTTAATATTATGCATGGTCATGGTGTCAAAAATTGGCCGTGGGCCAAGAGGGTTTATTGTTTTTGTCTAAAAATGTAGATTAAATTTATAATCGATTTTTGATTGTTACCATCTCCATAACTTACGCACTTTTTTTTAAATAGACAAAAATGTTTGAAAAATTCATTATGCAAATTAGAAAAAAATAGACTAATCATATTACGAGAAACCTGGTGGTTGTGTGTTCAATTCCCACACAAAACTTTTTTTTTTTTTTTTTTTTTTTTAAGGCAGTTTAGTTGATGGTGGATAATGAATAGCAAAACCTGGTGGTTGTACGTTCGATTCCCACACGAACCAATTAATTTTTTTTTTTAAACGAAGTCACTAAAAAGAGATCAAATTCGGTCAAGCGTCGGTCAAGGTTCAAAAGTTTCCAATTTAGCAAAAGGGCGCCATTCATGCGCTATTATACCAAAGAGAAAAAGTAATCAGTTTTGGAAGAGGGCGTCCTATCTGTTGCCATGGATCTGACATGGTTCCTGTTCTGCTGTTCACAGGATTGATACCCAAGGTTAAGTCGCGCGGTGTACGGTATGGTCAGAGCGGCCAAGGGTCAAAAGTTTCCAATTTAGCAAGAAGGCGCCATTCATGCCTTATTACAGAATTTGCACGCGTAAATCGCGGAGAACGCTATTTTGTGTTTATAAGATCTTTGGTAGAAAACTTTTAAAACTCTGTGCAGGTATAACGTATACGCGGGTAAACGTCACTCACGAGCGGTTGAATGCGCGTGTGCAGACGTACAGCTAGCAGTATGGCATTAAGGTGTTCAGCTTTTAATTGTTATAATAACAGCCAAAAAACCCCAAATTGCTCCTTCTTTCAATTCGTTTCCCTAAAGAAAAAGAGCGGTGAGTACAAAGCTCTGTATAACAATTTTGTGGAAAAAAAAAGTTACAATTTGTTATAAGTTGATGGCGCTAAGTGATTTCTGTCAATGTACATGCCTAGGCCTAGGTCTACATTACGCTCAACAATTAATAACAAGTTAACAATTTGTATAACATTGGTTGCTAAGTGACTTCTGTTAATGCAATGTGTGTATGCCTAAATTGACAGTGTGCTAAATGTAGGCATAAAGATTGACAGTGCTAAATATTGGCAATGTGTGGCGGTTTGCCTATTAGTTACTGTATTACAATTTTAAATTAATTAACCCATTTATTATATATAGGCCTAGTCTAGGCCCCTTACTAAAAACCATTGAATAACGGCTTTGTCTAACCAGGTCCCGTGAAAAAGGTTAACTGCAAATTTTATTTGAACAGATAGGCCTATCCTATGCCTAGACTGTTTTCTTTATGTACTTGATTCTTACTTACTATAAGCGGCACTTCTTTTATTGCATTTCAGATGTGGAAAGTGGATCCAAAATATGAAGAAAAATGACTTACGGGATAAGTCATCCGATTGTCTCTGTAAGAATTATAAAATCTGTTCAGATCATTTTGAGCAATCACAGATTCTGTGTATAGGCAGACTGGTGTGGAATGCCGTCCCAACTAAACTATTATTATTATCATAATTTTTATTATTAAAATGTGTTGTAAAAAAGTTTGTAAACAAGCAAATTTGATTTTCCAAAACCTTGGTTATGAATTTTTGCATACACGATATGTGGCTAATGCTTGAAAACATTATTGGATGTTTATTAAAGTACTATACTAGAATTTTATGATTTCCTCCAATAATATTTCACGAAATGATGTTTGCCCACATGACGTGTTATATAGTACTAAATGCTCAGTACAATTCAAATACTTGATAAAAAAAATCACGGTTGCTTCAGATAGGAATCAAACCCACGACCTCTAGGTTAACTAGACCGATGACTTAACTACACCACCGAGTTTGCGGGATGAATCCGATCTCCAAGTAGCAGCGGTACTGCTTTTACGATGGCGTTTTGCATCAGAGAAACAATGTTTCGTATTATTTCTCCTGACGCAAAACTCCATCGGATATAGTATTTTGCAAATAGTTATTTTACTCGGCCTCATCTGTTATTGTTATAATGTGTTATTTGTTGTTATTGTTATTAGTAGGCTATTGCCTAGTCATTATATTAATATTATCATAATTGTCACTCTATTGATTGTGATTATCATTATTAACAAAGCTAAGATTCTTTTGCTATGCAGAAGACGGTAGCTAAAAGTGAAACTGAAATTATTATAATTATAACTGAGCTATTTATTACAATTAATATGTTTAAAATATATTTGAAAATTTAAAAAAAATGAATTTAAGAGCATTGATAAAGCTATGTTGAATATATGCTATATATGCAGACAGACTGATGCTAATTGAATCTGAAAATATTATAATTGTAACTATTAATATTATCATTAATATTTTTTGAATATCATATTTTTATAATTAATATGAAAAAAAATGGATAGAAGAGCATGACTACTCGTAAGTTATTAATATTGTCATTGTTGTTATTAATATTGTTATATCTTTTATATTGTATTTACTATATAATTGTTTGATGGCACAAATAAAATATATTGCTCTCTTATATACTGACCACCTTTGCATTCCTATTAGTTTGATTGTGTAAACTGCATAAGAAGGAATGAGAATTTATAATGGCTAAAAACATGATGATGATGATGATGATGATGATAAATATATTTTTAATAATAATGAATAATAATAATAATAATAATATTAATAATAATAATAATAATAATAATAATAATAATAATAATTCATTTGTATAATAAACTCGCTGTTTGTGTAAAGTATAAAAAATAGGTCTCTCCAATATCTATCGCAAGCATCATATTTGGTTTTTCTTACACATATTGTTATTTGCACAGCATTGTATGTATAAATTCTTTCAACTATCATGGAGGGGAAAAATTTCCTCCATGCAACTATCATAGGCCCTACACTATGTTTATCATCTTATGTTTACATACTTTTAGATCTACTTTAGGTCAGGCTTATACAAGCGTAAATACCGCCCTCTACAAAAGTACTATATCTTGTGGAGAACAGATAAACAGACAAACCGACCGTGCGCGGTGGAGTACTGGGTAATAAACATAGAGATATATTGTTTAATAGCTCTATGATGGTAATAAAACACATACAAGCGTTGGTTGGCGTCCTACACTAGTTGCGTACTATCTACGGCTCTGGTTGCGTACAGAGCCATAGATATATATGGCTCTGGTTGCGTAGGGCGTATCGTTTTTTTTACGCTCTCAATGAGCGTTGTTGGCTCTCTTTTTCTATTTATACTCTTTGCTATAACTTCATAAAAAAAAGCCAAAAACGATTATAAGGTTGATTCTATTATTAATGGCATATCAAAAATCTATGAGCCTAAATATAGTAAAATAATAAACTAAATCGGTAAAGTTTATATTAAAAGGGGATTTACATTCAAAATATTGCAAAATGAGATATGGTATTATAATGGTAAAATGGCTACATTGGAAATTTCTTGATCTGTGAAAACTATAGAGGTGTAGTGTGAATATAAAAATAGCTCTTAACTATAATAAACTTATAGTACTGATACACCAAGTATGTTGCAAGTTATTATTATTAAAATCATAAAATGCGATAGTGGAAAAATATAATTGGGAAAAAGAAACGTTGACCCATACTGTATTAATAATAATGATATTGAACAAGTTTTTAATTACCAGAAGCTAAGGTTATTATATATACACATGCAAACCGAATCATAACAACTTTACACACTGCATATTCAATCAGTAGATTCAATGTTATAGGACGTAATATGATTATATTCTACTGTAATAATTATTACATCATGGTATACATTGCATGGAAATGAAACATTATCTGATAATATATTATTTATTATGATGATGTATGACAGCAACATAGAAATCTCAATAAAGACCGACTTATTACTATTTTGTTGTTAATATTTTTCGGTCTTATTTAGAATTGTGAAGCAGTCAACACTTAACAAGTCCACAGGGAGACGAACGAGGTGTTTATCAGATTTTTGGAAAGCTCCGGGGAAAACAACTGTTGATGTGTTGTACTACCGATTTTTCACCAAAAAAGAGATAGAGAGAGAGAGAGAGAGAGAGAGAGAGAGAGAGAGAGAGAGAGAGAGAGAGAGAGAGAGAGAGAGAGAGAGAGAGAGAAAGTGAGAGAGAACAGGTATTTGACGAAAAAAAAAAAATAGGAACGGTTAGTGAGACAGGTGTTTCAATATTTTCCCTCCAGTTTTTAAATATTCAAAAAACTTTATCTCATTAATCATCCCCGTGTTTTTTTTTTTTTTTGTTTTTTTTTTTTTTTTTTTTTTTTTTTTGTTTTGTTTTTTTTTTTGTGTCTTGGAAATATTTAAAAATGTAAGCGTATACAGATAAAAAAAAATGAATAATAGAAAATGAATAATTCAGACCTTTAAATCTTTCCATCACGACTGAAGTATTACACAATCTAAAATACGGCCAATTCATTCGCGAACCAAAAGCTATAAAAGCTGAGTAGATAGGCTAGATTCTGTTTAGATTCGCAGTAGATTCACGTATTTTGTCAAAGGCTGAGAATTAATAGATTTCCATAATTGAAGCAGAATTTTGTACTTAAGTAGGCCTATGTCTAATTTCTTTATACTGTAGTTTATGGAACATATTTTTGATGAAAGAATGGTGTTTTTTAGGCACAATAGTTTTTGTTATTATTATTCTTATTATTATTATTTTTTTTTAAATATATTCATGTTACAATTATCGCTACAGTTAGTTAGGCCTATTGTTTTGTGCGGTCGAGTTCAAGGGGAAAATAAAAATGTATAGGCCTACCGGTATTATATGTAGCTGCTTGCTCCCTTAGGCCTATAGGTCGGTTAAATAATACTTCGTGCATAATGTTTATGCACACATTTCAATTATTTACAGCATTGCCAGAAGACAAAATAGGCCCTATATAACGTAGAAATTAATAGTACAATATATTGCTAACTCCAACAACACTCAAACAACTTGATTGATGATGAATAATTGTTACTCACTATTTAAGCTTATGACGTTGGTCTGATACTGATACAACGAATACACTTTAAATTTTTGATTTTATTGCATGAATCTCAATCTAAATCCTGTAAGGCTTAATGTAGGCAGAAATTATTAAAATATTGCAGAAATAAAGTCTGGAAGCCGTCTGGTCTCCTTATGTTTTCTCATTAAAAAGATTAGCATAACATTTCTTTTCGTGATGAGAGTGCAATACGGCGTTTAATTATGATATCCATTATGCATTATTTACGAAGATGACGCTATCACCAGAGGGCATGCCTTTACGAACGTTCATGAAGGTTCTTTTTCCCATATTTCACATTTATCGACATCATATCGTTCCTCACGTAAAATTCTATAGCCTACTTAGTGTAGCACAATGTTTAGCTTTTTCTGTGACTTATCTAATATTCTAAAACATCATGAAACAAAACTCCAATAATGACTTTCGATTCCTCTGAGTTTCACATCCCGATAAATTCATGATCAGTTAGCCTTTTGTTCGATTATACAAGAATGTATAAAGTAAAAGCAAGACAAAAATATAGTTTTTGTGTATAACAAAGTTCGGCCTAATTAAATATTAATAAATATTCGCTTTGATGACCTTCCTGAACAACCTTCACTTCCTCTCACTGTAGCACAGTTTATGAAATTTAAAAACATATTGAAACTAATTTTAAGATGATAAACAATGGCTTTCGATTCCTGAGCTTCACTACCTGATAAATTAATGTTCATATATTGTTCATTGAAACACACAAACGGAATTCATTTTGTAAAAAGATTAGGCCTTATTAACTTTAATATTACTAACAGCTGCTTCATAGAGCCGTACGGTACTGTACAGTATTCCATTTATCACTTTCTTGGTGCAGAGGTCAAGTTTTGTCCTGCTAGGCCTACTTTTTGAAATTGCAAATATTATTAGGCTGTCTGCCACACTGAGCTAAAAATTAATTCCATATTTGAATTGTTGAATTTGTACATTTAAAAATGTTGAAGGGGAAATATATTTCCGTCAGTAACAGACATTTCGCCTAAATAACACATTTACTGTATTATTTTGCAAAGACCATTAAATAGGCTAGTTAAGTCAATTTAAAGATATTTGTAGTAGTCTGTAGGCCTAATTCACCGAAAACTATTTTTATCAGTTTTTGGTTTTAAGTCAATGTTTTATAATTTTAAATTAGACATTTTTCCTCGATTTTATTGGTAAATACAGTAGTAGGCCCATATACTTAAAGGAATAGGCCTACAAGTTATCGAAATAGTCATACTGTTGTTGTTGAGAGGGCTGAGTGTGATAATTTACACCTGAACGTTCGTTTAAAAGCCTGCCTAAAATCTTGCCTTCTGTAGGCATAGATAAATGGATTGACCATCGAACTAGCAAACACAATAGCTTCTGTAAACCAGACCAGCCACGGTATAGAAACGCTCCAAATGTATTCTACGTACGTCAATACAGTTAAAGGCGTTAGACAAGTCACAAATACAATTAGCACAAGACTTATTGTCTTGAATGATTTTAACTGAAGTTCTATTGCTAATTCGGACCCATGTTTTTGCTTGGTTGAAATTATCGTTCCCGGTAACTCCCTTTCCTTTTTCCTTGCAATTATATACGTACTCATATGCAGCTTCACCATAATTGTAAGAATGATAAAAAAATATCCACTACATATATAGTTCCTGATCATGTTAGCGTTTGATTTGATCCGTATAGTTCCATGTCCATTCGTATCCATTCCCCAGAAGAAGGGAATTAATATTGGGATGAAACTAACAGCCCAAGCTACCGTTATGTACAGAAACGCTCGTTTTTTTGTTGCTTTCGAAACATAGTCAAGAGGATGAACCACTGCCAAATAGCGATCCCATGTAATCAATAACAGGTTGTGAATGGAGGCCCACGAAAATAGGAATAGTGGCATTACGTAGATTGTCACACCATCCCTCATATTTGCACCGGAAAAACTTCCACGTATTAAAATATAATGCATTATAGCTCCCGGTACCGCAATACAACCTGTAAGAAAATCGGCAACAGCTAGGCTTCCAATGTAGTAATTCCTAACAATTTGAAGCGATGGATATCGGTAAATGGTCAACACAACAACCGCATTTCCAATGATACTGACCATACCAATGGGTACAAAAACAACTATAATGTATACAATAAGACCGCCACTTATTTCGTTCACAGTCCCGTTAATCATTGAAGTTGATCCGGTCGAATTTAAAGTAACATCTAATTCCGTCGGGTTTGATAATGTCATGTACTCCATGGCTGTTTAAGTTTGAAATCCTTTGTCATTGCTCCAAAAGTACAGAACAACCAACAGCCTGAACCTACTTTGCAGAAGCAATGAATGAATGTGCACGGAGGTCGTGGCGGTTGCACACCACCAACACAATGAGTGATTATGCTCACTGATGCATGAAATGAATCGATAACAGAATTTACACGGACCATGGAGTTGTAAGTCACATGAAAGGTAATTGTTGTCATCGTCATCCTCTCGATGATATCATCACAAGATAATAGGATATGTGTTATAATGAACATTCTAATATATTTTAAAAATTGTCATAATAGGCGTATTGCTTTTATTAATACAGGCCTCAAGGGTAGCGCC